GGCTGCCGTCTGTCATCTGGGCTGCGGGGCTGTGTCTTCCCAACACAGAGCTCTCTCTCTAACCACGTGATTCTTGTCTGTTTCCATGTTTTGTAGCAAAACAGTGCCGCGGACTTGTCCATGCTGGTCTTGGAGTCGCTGGAGAAGGCGGACGTGGAGGTGGCCGATGAGCTGCTGGGTGAGGCCTTCTCTGTTTCTGATAACCCTGGGGGCACTGTAGGCTCTGAGTCGGGGTGCCCGCCCCTGAACAGGGGTCTCTCTCTCTCGTTTTCAGAAAATCTGGCTAAACTATTTAGTCTGATGGACCCGAACTCTCCGGAGCGAGTGGCCTTTGTGTCCAGGGCCCTGAAGTGGTCCAGCGGGGGCTCCGGGCGGCTGGGCCACCCCCGGCTGCACCAGCTGCTGGCCCTCACCCTGTGGAGAGGTAGGTCTGGTGCATGTGGGCTGGGAGGGCAGGGCAGGGGCCCCTGCGCGCCCGCGGCTTCTGCTTGTCTGTCGTCATGAGCTCCCGTCTTGACCACGAGGACCGGGGTTCCCTGTCGCTGAGCTAAGGCCGTACCGCACAGGCCGCCACCCTTTGGTCACCATCTAGCTGAGGGGCAGCCCTGAGGCGTGAGGCTGGAGTGACCTGGGAGGTGGCCACTGGGCCTGGCCCTTCCTCCCCTGCCAGGTCCCTGTAGACCCGCCTCCCGCCACGGGCCTCCTGTCGGGGACACGCTGCCCACCGCACGGGCTCTTCTCCTCGCACTGCCCGCCTTCTGCTCAGTGTCCAGTGCGCGTCCTGGCTCCGGTCTGCTCGGGCGCAGGGAGCCTGAGTGCGGCTCCTCACGGGGGTCAGAGGGCCGCACCCCAGCCTTGTGAGCCGTGTGTAGTTGGTGCACCCGCCTCACTCAGCGAGTTTTTGGGGCCCCCACCCCTCATGCCCTGCCTGTACCTGGGGACGCATGCACTCCTGTCCTCACGGACGCCCAGAGTGGGTGCGGAGGGGCCCAGCCTATGTGTGTGAAGACAGGAACTCAGAGGTGCAGGCGGAGGCAGCTGTGCTGACGGGGGGCGGGTGAGCCTTGGAGGCCCGGGAACCAGCCCTGCTGGCTGTGTGTGGGACTGGACAGCTGCAGCCGGAAAGGAACGGGCGGAGAAGAAGCCACAGACCCTGTGGGCTAAGACGGCCGCAGGCTCCCTCCTCCTGGCCTCTCGCTCCCTGTGGGCGCCTCCTTCTCCAGACTCGGCCTGTGCCCAGCGCTCGTGGCCAGTTCCTCCTGTCCAGGACCTCGGCCTGATGTCCCTGTCCCCCGGGTCCTGTCTGGGTGCTCGGTCCTCACTCACAGCCTGTCTGTCTCCACCCGCAAGCCTCTGCCCGGAGCCTTGTCTGGTCTTGTTGCTGTAGTGTCAGGAGCCCTCGCCCGTCCTGCCAGCCCCTCCCGGGCAGGCCCTGCTCCCACCTTGTCCTTGGGAATGGGCCGTCTGCAGGGCCAGGTGAAGTCACCCAATCAGACCTGTGTTGCCAGCAGCATTTATTTGGCACCATCTCCCTGCCTATGTCTGTGGGCCCCCCGAGGCGATGCCAGGCCGCCGGCCGCCCCTGCCTCTGTGGCTGCGAAGTAGCGTGCACGGCGCAGACTCAGCCCTGGGCTGAGAGCTGTGGGCACGTGTGTGTAGTAGTAACGGCTTGAAACCAGGACACAGGCCTCGTATGTCCTGCTCAGACCACGGGGAGACAGGCACAGTCCAGCAGGGGCCCCTCCCTCAGTCCCCACAGCTGTCGGAGGCTGGGCTGAGGGCCACCTGCAGAGCCTGGGCTGACAGACCATGTGGCCATCGCTGCACAGGGTCCGTCCCAGGCCTGGGGCTCAGGGACTTCCTGATTCTGCCCGAGTGGATGCTCTGAATCCCCTCCGGCCTGTGTGCCTCGCAGTGACAGCCTCTCCCTTTGCAGAGCAGAACTACTGCGAGTCTCGGTACCACTTCCTGCACTCGGCCGACGGGGAGGGCTGCGCCAACATGCTGGTGGAGTACTCCACGTCCCGCGGCTTCCGCAGCGAGGTGGACATGTTCGTGGCCCAGGCCGTCCTGCAGTAGGTGTCCGCACGCCATCAGCCCTGCTCCCACGGGCCCTGGAATCACGTGACACCCCCACTGGGCCCTGCACAGACCGCGCCCCTCCCAGCTCTCAGGAGCCGTCCCAGTCTGGGGCTTCTGTAACATTTCAGTTGAGCAGTGAGAGAAGTGGGTCTTGTATTTTATGCGAACACTAGAAGTCCCGCGCACAAAATCGCGTGACCCCGCCCACCCACCAGCACCTCCCACGCTCACAGTCCCGCCCACCCGCGCGGGTCTTTGGTTGTTATGGTGTTAGGGCCACTGGGTTTTTATAATATAGAAGGTTCTTATGTTACCATTGGTTTTTTGTTTTGTTTTTTGTCTTGTCCCCTCCCCCATTGTCTCATGCTTTTGATTTTTTTGGTGTCAGGCAACTGTTTTTTGCAGGACACGTGATTAGCAGATTGTAAGTCGCGTCTTGTGATGTGAACCTGCTTTCAGAGGCTTTTTCAGAGGCTGTGCTGGCCTCTCCAGATGTTTCTGCATCGAAGAGAGAGGTGCAGGGTCCCGCTCGGCCACATGGGGCCGGCACCACCGTCAGCAGGGCCGCCCGGCTCCAGGCGCTCTGCCTTCCGTGGGTGACATGTCATTCCTCCCATAAACGCCTGCGTGTGGCCAGGCGCTGGGGCGGGGGTGCTGAAGGTCCTGCCGCACGTCAGGCCCCCATTCCCGGCCGGCAGTGGGGAGGTTTCTCCATCCCGCTCACTGCCTGGCTCGTGGCCTCTGCTCAGGCACCTCTGGACTGGGCGTGGCTCTGCGTAGAGCAGCGGTTCGCAACCTGTGGGTCGCCTAAGACCATCGGAAAACACATAGATAATTACATATTGTTTTTGTGATGAATCACTATGCTTTAATGATGTTCAATTTGTAACAATGAAATGGGGGGTCACCACAACATGAGGAACTGTATTAAAGGGTCGCGGCGTTAAGGAAGGTTGAGAACCACTGGCGTAGAGGGTCTCCAGCCCCTTCTCATGGAGCCCCCTTTGTGCCTTAAAAAACGTGACCCGGTCTCGAGCCCCTCCTCATGGAGCCCCCTTTGTGCCTTAAAAAACGTGACCCCGCCCCATGCACCTCGGGCCGCCCGCCCGCCACGGAGACGTCCTCCCTGGGCCCTCAGACCATTGGCCCCAGGGGCCGACAGGTGTGCGGACAAACTCACCCCCACCCTGTCGCCTCCCACGCGCGTTACTCCCTTCAGCTGTGAAGCCTAAAGCCCAGGCTGCTCACGGGGCGGCTGCTGAGCACAGGGCTCAGCAGGCTCGGGAGTGAGTCCTCTGTGCCGTGGGGGCCGCGGCCCGGGAGAGGGCCCACAGCCCCCGTGGGCGACAGGCCTGTTCCCGTGACGGGAGGTGCTCGTTCGTTCCAGGTTCCTCTGTTTAAAAAACAAAAGCAGCGCGTCCGTGGTGTTCACGACGTACACACAGAAGCACCCGTCCATCGAGGACGGCCCTCCGTTCGTGCAGCCGCTGCTCAACTTCATCTGGTTCCTGCTCTTGGCCCTGGACGGGTGAGTGAGTGAGTGAGTGAGTGTGCACAGGTGTGTGAGGGTGTGTGTGAGCGTGTGTGTGTGGGAGTGAAGGGTGTGGGTGAGTCGGGGAGTGGGTGTGGGGCTGTGAGTGTGTAGGCGTCTGCGTGGGGGAGGGAGGGGGGCCTTTCTGTCCCCCCTGGTGTCTGGAGACCAGAGCTGTGGCCCCGCCGCCCGGTTTCAGAGGGAAGCTGACCGTGTTCACGGTGCTGTGTGAGCAGTACCAGCCGTCGCTGCGGCGGGACCCCATGTACAACGAGGTGAGGCCCGCGGGCGGCGGGAGCGGCGGGAG